AATGTGAAGAAAGCAGAGGGATTTCCCCCCTAAACCAGCCCCATGGTTTCTCTGATGTTCAAAAGGGGTTTATTCTCTTTTCTCCTGCCTGCATGAAAATAAAGATGCCCACATCAGAACTAGCCATTATTCAGCAGATGAAAGCTTCTGCTAAGGCTAATACAGGAAATCTGGAAAATAAATAAAATAAAAATAAAACAACTAAACAAAGTTATTGCAAGGGCTTGAGTTAAAAATGAAAACAACCTGGAATGAAAATATTTCTGGCTTAGATGGAGGGGTTTATTATCATCTCTAAAGAAACACATTAAAACTGCAAAAGGGAAGGAAAAAATGTTTAAGAACCTTTGCCTTGAAAATGTATGTGCATGAAAAAATTACTTGCTTTGAAAATTAAATCTGAACAGGGTGCACCTGCTGAGATTACTGGCACAGCCTTGGATTTTATGGTGGACAAAGTGATGAACCTAATTCCAGCCCAGGGGTTTACAAGAAGAGAATGAAGTGCAAACACACACTTCCTCCAGGAAGCTCGCATGGAATTCTGCATTCACATTCGGGCTGGTTGGTAAAGAAAGGAGCTCTGGGTGCTTTCCTCCCCAAAGGTCACTGCAAACCCCTTCTCCTGTGCTGGCACACACACACAGCACAAAACTACACACAACAACACAAACTACACACAACAACACAAAACTACACACACAACAACACAAAACTACACACACACACACCACAAAACTACACACACACACACCACAAAACTACACACACACACAACACAAAACTACACACACACACAACACAAAACTACACACACACACAACACAAAACTACACACAACACAAAACTGAATACACACAAGACAAACCCACACACAACAACACAAAACACATACACACAACACAAAACCACACACAACAACACAACCCCCCCACACAAATAACACCACACATGCTCAGGTGATTTGCTGAGCTTTAGCACAAGACAGGATTCCAGGGCCCTGCCTGCTGCAGGCCATCACTCACACTGCAGCTCCTTCTGCAACACTCTTTATTAAAATAGATGAAAAATGGTGTCCTTGTGCTGACTCTACACCCATCTGACAAAGTACCACCAAGGAGCCAGAGCACTCCATCACATACAGGAAAGATTGGCAAAGAATGTCTGAACAGAAAAAAAAAGATGCAAGCAACTCATATATTCACAGTGGAATAACACAAATATTCTGAATTTTATTGTCATTAAGAGCTATAGTCCCTGAAACAAGAGATGTAAGCACAGACCTCAGGAATAGAATGCAAATCTGTTGAGTCCTCAATATTTCCCACAGGGCAGCATACATATTTCTAAGTAACTTAAGAGAAATTGGGAAAACATCATGAACAAATTTTTCACTCTGCACCAATGAGCTGTCAGGTTCAACTACTTTCATTATTCATTGGCAGCATTTTAAATTCTAATTTCCTATTAGAAAACCTGAAGATCAATAAGGCTAAAGGAAGATGTAGTCTCATTTAATGTCTCAAAAACTATGCCAGACAACTGGAATGCCTTCTGAAATTAAACACTTTTCCATCTAACAGGGATTGGACTGGTTAATGGTTGTGTGTACTCTCCATCATGTTCTTTTACAGCCAAAGTGATCAGATTTATAACTGACAAAGCTTAGTACACTACTAAGTTATTTTCAACAAAATTACTAGCTATCATCCCTATTTTCTTACTCTTTCCTTTGTAAATTCTTTCAAAGAAAGAAAAAAGATCCAAGTCAGGTTTAAAATAAAATATATTGCCTTTGAAATAAACCAAAATAGAAAGAGAAAAAAAAGGAAGGGAGGAAGAAATCTGGATCTCTGCACAGGTATATCTTTACATATTATATAAAATGGGAATATATTTTGTCACTTTTAAGACTAGCTCATAGTGTTTCTTTTATTTTCTTCAGCAACATCTGATTATCTCAGATAAAGACCAACATCTCCTCTCCAACTTTAGATATTTGCATAATTATTAACTTTGGCAGCAAGCACATAAAATTGTGGTCTCAATTTCAAGCAGAAAAGGGAATGGACTGTAAAAACTTCTGCATTTAAGGGCTTCTCTTATTAAAGAGCAATCTAGAAATAGCAACATGGGGATGGATTTTGTAGTGGAGGAGCTTTCAAAAAAGGAAGAAATAATGTGCTTAGAAGATAATGTCAGAGAAATTCAAAGATCAGTAGGGAAAGTTTCAATAAAGGGCAGCAGTTAAATACCAGGCCTTTCCTAAGGACACAGTGATTCACCCACCACTTGAAATCCTTAAATCTTTCTTTTTGTTTTTCTGCAAAACATGCTCCAGAGCCTGAAGACACTGTTTTCAGCAGGAACCACTTTTCCAATCTCTATTTTTACCCCTTCCCAGGAGGTAAAGATGATAAAACTTTCAGATGGATACCAATTATCCTATTCCAAGAGGAGTGAAAGGGAGTAAGTAGCTATTTATTCTCTGCTAAAATCATCCTGTGCAGAGTTCACTTACCCTGCCAATGTCCAAAGAAAGTGCCAAATGCTCCTCCACAGTAATGAATCTGAAGTTATATATTTCATTTTCCATGCATATAATGCCATAGCTGCATTGCCACAGTGCCAGGAAATAAAGTCTTAAAAAATAAAAATAGAAGCAGGAAGCAGAAATGTTGCTTTGCAAGGCTATTCCTTGGGGGTTTTTATTGCCCAGGATATTTGGTATCATTAACTATACTGGCCATTTTCAAAGAAAATGTAAAAAAATTCCAAAACCTATACATTTTTTTTTTCTGTGTTTATCAAAAATACTAAATAATTCATAAATCCTTAATTACCCCCACTTTTTCTTTATTTCTCATACACACACATACTCTAATAAACAAAATGTCCTTTTTTTAACTCCTTCTTTTTGTGCTGTTGGGCTTCATTGTTTCTTTAGCCAACAAACTCAGGAGAACACCTAACTGCAAGCTTAGAAGTTTTCACACTGACTCAGACAACCATCAACGCAGAAACACTGGATATCAGTACACATGTACTGTTAATAAAATACAGGGCCTTTGTAATAAATAGCATTTCTAATATCATTTTGAAGAGATAGGGAAGTTCATACCTGTACAATCTCATAGCTTTTATACTGAATTGTTTACAACAATTTTTTGCATGATACTAATACAAATTATACTTTTTTTTTTTTTTTTACATGATGCTAATAAAATTATATTTCAGTGCAGGAGCTTTTTAAGATGGATTTTGAAGACCACAGGAGAAGCCTGTATCCAAGCAAGGGTTTAGCATCAAATTCTACATTTCTTTTTACCACATCTGGAAAACTCATAAAAAAAGCTTTGCTCTTATTATAGGCCATAGAAGAGAGTTAAGAAATACAATAAACTACAAGTTTTATAGCATCACCAATATTTCACATAACTCCATCCACAGCCATTTAGATTTATTGTCCTGGGTTTTGAAATCAGTACTATTTTTATGCACAGAATATTATGCACATGTTATGATGAACTACTAGAGTTCTTAGGAGAATCATCTCACGCATTTTTTAAATAAGAAGAGTAATAGATGGAACCAGCAGAATGATCTTCTTCCACTATGTACTTAGCTGCTTTTAGTGAGACTTTAGTTCACCATACTGGGTCTGTGATAACTTTATTTGACAATTAGGACCAGTGTTTTTCAGATAGGGTGGGGTCAGAGGCAGCTGCTTTGTGAAGAGGGAACAGCAAATTGAAAACCTGCTTTATGATTTCACTAGCAAATAGTCTCACAGGAAAAGAGTTTTCTGCCAAACACAAGAAACTGCTCATCTTGGCAATAGAAGTGTTCCAGCTTTACCTAGTATCACATTTTTTTGCACTGCCTGCAGACAGAAACCATTCCAAAGAAGAAACCAAGGGCAGCTCAGCAGAGAGGAGATGTCATTGGAGTAGCTGGGGAAAGGGAGTGGCAGAAACCAGAGTGTCCCTTCTCTTAGCCCTTAACGGGTAACAAATAACACCAGAGCAGAAAAAAGACTGACCATACTTTTCTCCTTTATATGCTTTTGCTTTTAAATGCACTTATCCTTACTATACCCACTTCATTCTTCAGAGTTTATCATAAAGCAGCAATTCAATCACACAGCTCCCCACTAAGTAAAGCAGTTCTAGTTGAACGCCGAAGTTGAAACAATTGAAGCATTATTCCCCTGCAATGTCATTCTGAATTTACACACAGCCACCAGGCTGCCAGACTCCTGCCTAGCACAGAGCACTCCAGAACAGTTTTGCCTTGCCCAGTTTTGATCAATTCCTGTTGTCATTGCTTTGATTCCATCACCTGGAGTAACACCCAGATCACCATAATGGCACAGACCAGACAGCTGCTACTGCATTACGTGTACATTTCTTACAGAGAGAGAGTGAACAAGGCATGGAATCAAAAAAAAAAGAAGCCAATGAGTTGAAAAAGAGCTTGAATCTGTTTTCTTTTTTACATTAAAACTGCTTGATTTTGGAGGAATCTACATGCCATGTGCAAATCATTTAATAAATTAGAATACTAAATACAATTGGTGGTCATCAGAAAATGGTTATGACTGTACAAGTACATTGAAATATTCAAGTCTTTTCTAGATGTGAAGAGAACCAATCTCAAATCCCAAAGTTCAGATATTAATAGAGTTGATCTTATTGTGACTCCACAAACAAGATCCAGTTCTTAAACACAATTCTTCACCACTGCTTCCAACCGAGTCAGGAGCATGAACAGATAATTTTAGTGGGTTTCTACTAGACAGAGCTTTAAAATTAGAAAGCCACTTCAAAAATTAATGAAAGAGATGTGATTCAGAGCAACAAGGAAAACTGGGACACTGGCCAATTTCAAGAGGGTTTGAAATTTTAACTGATTTTTTTATTTCCTCAGTGACTGGATAGTATCATTCAGTACTTAAAATTTTTACCTAGTTTCAATTAAGTGAGAGCTTATAAACTTACCATTAATCCATTTGGCTTCTGGATTATGAACTATGAACTCTTTTCTGAAGAGGTCTTCCAATGATAATCTGTTTTCTGAGGAATTTGCAAGTTCATCTAAAACAAACACAACAAGATCATTTTAGATAACTATTGAAAACAATATATTCAGTGTTGTTTGAAAAACACTGGAATTATAGAACCAAAGTCCTGTTAAAATTGGTAACAATACCTTGCCCTTATTTTTTTTCACAACAAGAAAAAGTATCATTTTTGTTTAGTAAAGCCTCAGGAAACAAAGAATTAATGCCTTTTGGACGGGAAAATTACAGGATTTAGTGTTTGGCTATTTTTTATATTGGGACTTTCCCAGCAAAGATCTTTCTTACCATAGCCCCACACCACAAAAAATTACAAAGCAATACCAAAATTTCCTGGCAGCCAAAGGATTATACTGAGTACTTTACACTGAGAGAAACTAGATAAAAAATTCCTGCAAGTAAGTTTGCAACCAACTTCACCTATTCAACAATTTAAAATGAAATTTTAAAAAATCTACATGCACATTTTATAGCCTGTTCTTGCTTTCTAGGGATGTGGACAATATAACTTGGCTATTGGCCTTGTGTTTTTCCCAAACATGACAGAACCCAGGAATGATGTGATTCTGAACACTAGCCACCACTGACTTACAAAACAAAACAAAATTTTAAAAAATCATTTTCCTGCATCTAAAATCATCTCCACACTTCAGAAAAACTAAAAAAAGAAGCTTTGCTAAATATGTGTTTTCATGCTGCAAGCTAAAATATAAGTAGTGAAGAGTCAATAGCAAACTGCTACACTAACAGTGGTAATGTTGCACCATTACTATTACAGCAAAAGTTTTACTGTCAAAAGACAAACCCCCAAAGTTTCCAAGCAATAATCAGTGGCAGCAGCTTGCACTTCACCTGGCTGTTTTAGGCTGTTTAGAACAGCAGATGCCAGGAGCTGTGCTCTTTGTTGCCTGTGCCCTTGCAAAACGATGCACCTGTGCACTTCCCACACAACCAGTCAAACGCCCAGCCAGGTTCTTAAAATAATTTTGTATTATTAGGCAGGTTACCATAAATTACTGAATTACTAATTGATTGTAATTAGTTAAATTTACTCTTTCTCTTCTCTATGGGCATTTTTTCCTTCTCCACAAGAGGAACTTTGTGTTAGGCAGATTTTTGTCCTTACAGATATTAAACAGTGCTCTGATGACAGACACATACAAAAAGAGTTATCTGTCATCACAGCAGTCAAGAAGCAATCTTGTTATCTTTGTGTCAACCCATGATACTACCAGGACATTTTTAACAAAGAAACCTGCTTTGTAAAGGTCATATCCTGTAAAACATTTTGGATGAAAATGTGACCCTTCAAAGAGAATAAAGTCAATCAATAGTTTTGTTATTGGTCTTTATTCAGCCTAATTTCTCAATTAGAGGGCCAGCTGGAATTAACAGCACTATGATAGTTTTGCCTTTAAATGTCAGCACTGCCTGCTACAGTCACTTCAGCTGGTATTAATAAAGTGCATCCTTGGTGTACTGAAGAGAAACTCCCTTTTAATGCACATCATGAATTTACAATAGACACAAGCCATCCCAGCTGCTCACACCACAGCTCTGCTGCATTTTGCATGTTGTTCCCTCGCAGGTCACAGCAGGGCTCTGGGAAGCACTCACCGCTGTAATCAACTCTTCTTACACTTCACGTCTTGTAAGGCCAAGCATGAAGAGCTGTCCAAATCCTCTCTCATAAAACAAAAATTCTAATCCTTAAATAAGCTTTTTTGCCCTCTTCCTACCTTCCAGGAATCAAAATAGTCTGTTTAGGTTGTTGTTTTTTTTCATCTGCCAGTCCAGCATGGGACACAATATTCCACTTGCAGTCTTACTGGAGCTTTACAGCAAAGTAACATTATCTCTCTTGATTTATACCTAATCCCTCTGTTTACACATCATGGGACCTTGTTAGCTCCTGCTCCTGCCACACACTGTGTTTTTATCTTCAAAGTAAGCACATGTTGTTATGTGTGCTCTATTCAGCCCCACAAATATATTCTTGTGTCTTCAAAACACTGATTCTGACTTAACTGCATCAAACACTGGGCTCTTCACATGCCCACTATCCCCTTTCTCCAGAACCTTATTGACAACCTACCCTCCACAAGCTGTTTTCCATCACCTATTTGTATTCAAAACACCCTGGTCCTGATGCTGTTTATGATTCCAAACATGTTCCCCTTCTAACCTTACCTTAGTCTGTTTCTACTTATTGTGACCCTTTATTTCCTGCCAGTTTGCCAACTAGCAATCAAGCTCACACAAGCTGTTATGTTGTCAAAGATTGCCTTGCCTATGACAGATTTTTTTTTTTCAACTGCTTAAGTAAAAATCACTAAAACAATACATCAGCTGAGTAAAGAGAGGCTATTAGAGAAGAAAGGATCACCAGCCCTGCCCTCTGTTTTCTATCACACCCCTGGCAAGAAATCCCCATATGGATTGGATTTTAAAGTAATTTTTAAATTACAGTTAGCATTTGTAAACTAAAAAAAATGGCATATTCAAGCAACTTCAGTAGGTGTTTTAGAAGTATTTTTTTTCAAAGATAAGTTTTAACCAAATCAGAGCTCTGTTTGTAACCCTTAACTCTACCTTTTGGTCCTCTATCAATATCTCAAATGCTCAGTTTATCCATAACAGGATGAATAAACATGATCCCATGAGCACTACTCAAAACAGTAGTGGGTTAATCTTTATTGAGCACAAGTCCAAATTAGCTGTACCCCCCCACGGTTACACTCAGAGGCAGGGGAGGACAGGAGGGGATGCCCTCTGTGTCAGGGACCAGCTGGAATGCACGGAGCTACACCTGAGGATGGATGAGGAGCCGACCTTATGGGTCAGGATTGGAGAGGGGACACGGACAGTGACATTATAGTCACCCTGGGGCTGCTACAGGCCACCTGAGCTGGAAGGCAGAGGGGAATGTCCTCACATCCACAAGCCCTGGTCCTCATGGGTGACTTCAACCACCCCAATACCTCTTGGGGGGACAGCACAGCAGGGCGTAACCAACCCAGAAGGTTCCTGGGATGCAGTGTTGGTAACTCTTCTCCAAGTGACAAGGACATGGACCTGTTGGAGCAGGTCCAGAGGAAGTCCCTGCTATGGAGACAGGAGGAGATTTGAGACTGTTCAGCCTGAAGAAGGCTCCAGCGAGATGTCAGGGCACCTTCCAATACCTAAGGGAGCTCCAAGAAAGCTGGAGAGGGACTTTTGTACCGTCATGGAATGACACAACAAGGGGAAATTGCTTTAACCTGAAAGAGTGCAGGTTTAGATTGGGTGTTAGGGAGAAATTCTTCCCTGTCAGGCTGGTGAGGCCCTGGCACAGAGGAGCTGTGGCTGCCCCATCCCTGCAAGTGTTCAGAACCAGGACAGGGCTTGGAGCCACCTGGGATGGTGAAAAGTGTCCCTCCCCATGGCAGGGGGGGGGGAATGAGATGATCTTTAAGGTCCCTTTCAAGCCAAACTAATCTTTGATTCTAGGATGTACTTATTTCATTTTAAAGACTTCCTTTTATTACTTTATATTTATTACATTACAAAATACCCTACTATCTCTTTTTCATTTCCATTGTAAATTTTATTGAATTATTCCTTGAAGAAATGCTATTTCCAATGTTCTCACAATATTTACCACAGATTTCTGTATTTTGGTCTGAAATTATATATATATGTATAATGAATGACATAGATTACAGAAGATACAAACAAAATCAAATGCTAAAGACTAAATGACTACTTTTTAACTGTGCATCCAATTAAAAACAGTTCAAATACTGCATGTGTTAATTCAAAGTTACAAACCTGTTTGTGCTTACTAAACTAGAAGACTCCAAAACTTGAAATTAATGGCCTTGCTACTTTTCACGAGTTTATAGGATATTATTTTTGCAGGTTAAATGTAGTCTAAACACCTCATAAAATTTGCCTTCTAACTTAGCAAATAAAACTAATAATTATGTACTGTACTGTAGTATGCCATTAATTGAAGCTCCCTACTGCTGACTTTTCTGTGGGGAAAAAAAGTTTTTATATTAGAAATTAGGATAAATGCTTGATGTTAAATGCCATCTGAAAATGGGAAAAATCCACTAGTAAACTGCATGCAAGCTAGCAGGTGTAACTGGGAATTAGCATAGCTCACTTTGTGTTAGCATGACAAAGGAAGAAAACTTGCCAGTAAATAGTCAGATATCAAAACCTGCCTGCCAATTTACAGTAGTTACAGGGAGTCTGTACAGAATTGAACAGAAAACTGCATTTTCTTCCAGTGAATATCCACATCACAAAAAAATAAAAAAATAAAAAAAAAAATAAAAAAAAAGTTATAGTTTGCTTTCTTTTCCTTCAAGAGTAGTATGAGGGAGGGTATGGAGAGGTCAGTCCTAACCCTGAACAGTTTATCTGCTGGACATAATCCCAATGGATTCTCTTCCCAGAGCTTGATTTTACTCAACCCTTTCCACAAAAAGCATATTCTGACCATTTCTCTGACCTAAGTGTTCTCTAAAGTAACTTTTCTGAAAAGGTGTACTTTTTTTCCATCATGTGTGAGTTTTCCTTCAGTCTATGATTAGAGGTAGGTGCCAGTTTGCTCAACAGTAAGTGCACATATCAGCAGGCATGGTTTAAATGCCAACATCGATATCTCAGTGAGGGAGTCCTAGAAAAAGCATTTGAGTCTTCCACCCCTTCAGAATTTAAGTTAACACAAAGGTAGAACTACTGTCAGTCCCAAAAGGAAAAAACAAATTTAAGTGTTGTGGCAAAACACCTGTACAAGGGAGGCCAAATCCATACAACTCTTAGCATGCTCTTAAGCGGTTTTTCACATAAGAGCTTTCAGCTGCTAATACTTTCAATTGGACATTTGTCAGTTTTGAAATACAGATCAACAGTGGCTGATCAGATAGGTCTTGACATAGTTCCTACAACATGGAACACACTGTCATGATGCAAAGCAGTAACAGGTTGATTCAAAGGCAGGAATGATTTAAAGGCGCTGATATCTAAAAATCTACCTATGACTATTTCAGTATATGCAGGTGTGAGATGAAACCTCAAAAACATGCAATAGAATAAAAGCAGAAGAAGAAAGGTGCCTGTGTTAAATTTATACTGACATACAAACCAAGTAACCAAATGATGGCATCTCATGGACACTCACCTGTGCCTCTGCACTGGCAATTAATTCCATATATATAAGATTATTCCCAATGTATTTTCTTTTGTTTTCTCTTAAATACTGCTCCAGCAGTCCACTCCAAATATTAAACAAAAATCACTAGATTCATGATGCAGTTACCACAGAGGACAGACGGGCTCCTGTTCTGAAACTTCCATGTTTTTCCACTCCTCTACTTTAACAAGGGCAAATTGATTCTTTGGGATCTCTGTGCACTTTCTTTATTGCACTTTTCTTATTTTGAAGAAAACCAGCAAGGATATTTGCCTGCAAGCCTTCTATTTCCAGGTATGGAGCAGTGTAGCAATTTCTACTTATTCTACTAATTACTACTCCTTATTCCACAGGGGCTCAGAGAGAGTTCCTGAGCCCCAACAAGTGGTTACTGGGATGAGAGTTCATTCAGACTCTGCCACTAATGTTTTACATCACTGGACGGTTTGTTCTTCCACTTTTCTATCTCTTTCTTTAGAGCACTAAGACATTTATAAAGATTCTGAGTATTATCATAGATGAAAGGCATGATAAAATTATCAGAAATGTTACTAATATTGTTGGCACAATGCATTTACTCAAACCACAACCATAATTCTAACACAGAGGTTTCAGATTTGAACAAAAGCTAAGATATTAATAGGTCAAAATACATCTCACTTCAACAGAGATCCTGCTTAGTATTGTATAGTGAAGTTATATTTCATGTAATAAAAGATAATCAAAAATAAAATCAAGGATTTCCTTTTAGTTTTAATATCATTTCTATCTTTAGTGGAAATTAAAGCCTCTTTGAAGACTTTTGCAAATGAATTGCACTTTCTTTTAAAAATATGCTATCCCACATGGAAGCATTGGTCCCTCTATTAAAAGGCAGGAAAGCTGTTGCTCAAAATTTGAGAGAAGTCAAATGACAATTGTTAGTGTACACAGACCTGAGAGTTTCTTATATTGTGGACAAAACAATGTGTAAATAATTGCGGGCAAAAGAGATCACTGCTGTGTTTGGCTTATCAGTAAGTACCCATTTGCCTGCAAAAAAAACAGTGAAACAATCAGGTTTCTGAGAAATAACCATCTGAAATTATCATCATTTCCAGAAAAAGAAGCAGCTTGATGTAAAGTGTTTAGGGGAATTTACATGGAATCTAAAAAGCACCCATCCGTACAGGCAGAACTAAATAGGGAGAGAACTCTGATGCTCAGAATAGTACTAGAAATGAATGCTGAAACATCCCAAGGTAACAAAGGACATTTGCACTGAACATCTTCATTCAGACCTATTATATTTTATGAGAAGGATTTTCAAACCCAAATATTTATAATAACAAATTAGCATCAACTTGGAAGTGAGCACTTCCCAATAGCCAGATGTCAGGGGCTCTCTACTTTTATCCTGGACATCCCAAAGTGATCTTAACACATATTCATGACAAAGTAGCTTCAGCTATAGTGCTTAGCACCTGCCAACAGACCAACAGAGTAGCAAAATATCAAAACATATTAATAATTCATAATAATCAAACAAATAAATAATGAAAGTGAAGGGGGAACAGCAACGATTAGGGCCAAAACAGGGCAAGCATCTATCCTACAATGCACCTCCAAAGCTTTCCATGGTAAGCATTTCCAACCCACAAGAAAGCCCAGTTTTACAGACCTGGATTGTTCTGGGAGAAAGGCTTTTATTTATATCAAGCTTCACAGTCTCTATGGGATATCTTGGAGCATCTGAGCTGACAGAACTAGTTTTCACTCGCATGACTTGAACTGAAATGTAGGTCCCAGCTTACACAAGTTTTCAACCAAGATCTCTGGATTTTGAAATGGCCTCAGAGATGTTGTAATTCACTGAGCTTTTTTAACATATTTTCTTTAAAAGTTAACATTCCCCTAGGTTGTTTATTCTTTTTCCCTGAGTGCCTTCAAAGACTTCATATTATGGTTTTACATCATTAATAATTCTATACAGATATAAGAGCCACAACTGAAAGTTATTATTGTAGATTCCAGGAAAGATTTGATATTTTACAAGTCTTCAAAAAAAAAGCTACCTCTCCTCAAAACAAAAAAACAGTCTTCTGTCTTAAAGTGTACCACTAATATGTGCCCTCGAAATCTTTTATATTATTCCCTGAAGAAAGCTCCTATTCACTGAGACTACAGCAGCACAACTTTGCTTTTACTTTTCTCAACATGATCTAAGTGGACAGCAAAATGATAATATTATCATTTATACAAAACAGAGGAAGTAGACTATCCACAGTGTTCCTGCATACTCTTTCCAGCTGCCTCATCCCCTCTGACAAGCAGAGCTTCTTGATCCTTTTCCATTCAGCCTCAGCACCTTCCCTTAAAGCAGCAGCACTCTGCTGCTGTCCCTGACCATGCACAGACTCAGCCAGCTTCCCTCGGTGATTTCATCTCACAGCCAAACAGCCTGGAACCATTCTTTATCTGAAAAGAGCTTCATTAACTTTCTGGTTTACACAAACTGAGTACTCAAATGGCAGAATATTTGCAGACCAATATTTACTATCTAGGCATGCCACGCAAATCAGATACTTTACACTCTAAAACTGGCAAAAGGATTCAAAGATTTTTTTTTCCTTTAAAACTTGTACATTGTTTGCTCTTTTTGTCTACTTCTTGCCCTATCCTTTATTTTTTTTTTCTGTGACTGAACCATTACTTTCCCCTCTGTTTCTGAAAGAAAGAAAAGGGAAGAAGCTTGTGCATGCACATATGGAAGATCCATGTTTGTCATTCAGTGAGAAGTTGCATTCTCAGAATCAGTTTTCCATGGAATGCAATTTTCTCTTAGCTCATCTGTGAATCTGAAATTACACCAAAACCCAACAACAAACTCCTGAAGTCAGCTGACACCTGCTGAGGCTCACAAGGATGGCTGTAGCCCCCTCAAGGCCGACACAATCCTAAGGACCTCTTGCCAACCCCAGACATTTCTGCTCTGCAAGGCCTCCAGGAGCTCCCGAGTCCCCACAGGCACCAAATTTACAATAACCACAAGTTAAAAATGCTGAAAGGCAAGAAACACTTTAACATTCATTGCTTTTGATGACTGCATTATGAATCACACACCTTTAATAAGATAAAATAAAGAAGTAGGTTACCTGGGGTTAAAAGAATGACTGACATAGTGATGAGTGAACAAACAACTAGAATCACCAGCAGCGCAATAGCAATTCCCTTCCAGTTCCTCTGCGGAGGGCTGTTACTTCCAAGTTCCTACAGGAATGGAAAAAAATGAAATAAAAGGAAAAGACCACGTTTCATAAACATACATTTCCAGAACTATTAGTGTTAGGAAAATTGCTCTGTGCACATTCATAATCACAGCACGGGAGGTGATCATGATCCCTCCCTTCTCCACAGTATACAGAGTCATCCAAAGGTGTAACTCTCATGCTTTTTTAATACATCTCTTTCTTTTTAAAAAAATATATTTGTCATTTTATACTCCTAAGAGACAATCAGATGATCTTATGCAAGCTGTCCAAAATACAACTGGTGTTAAAATGTCCTGAACATAAACTTCAGGACAATATCAACTAGCAGTTTATAAGATAATTACAGAAATGAAATGCAGCAATTTACTGTAATTCTACCTAACATGGTATGGACCATAAAGGTTTAAATACACATCCTTTTTAATGCACACTATTAAACTTATTTGCAATAGAAAGCATTAGCAAAACTGCCTGAGGCTGCAAGTATTCCATCTGAAGCTACAAGCTCTTTTTCTCCATGCAGTAGATCAACTGTAAACTGCTCCCCTATTAGTTATAAAAAAACAACAGTAGCTTATAACAAATGTTAAATGAATGTTTCTGTAACTACCAGTGCACTTAAGCCTACATCCTCTGTGGTTACACATTTAACTCCTGCCAGGCACCATTTACATTTTTTCAATAAAAGCACTGCATTGCCCACATTCATGGTACAGTTTGAGACCAAACGGCACATAAACACCTAACTACAAAATGACAAAACTAGTGCAATTGTTTCTTACAACCCCAACTTTCCCTCACAGAAAACAGTGTTTTTTCTATCTAGATTTGGCAAGCAAAAATGTTTCTCTGCCACAATTACATGTGTCTTTAGTATCTCAAAATTAAATGCTATGGCAAGATTGCAAAAAAACCCAAAAACAACAAAACCCACCGCCTGCTATGTTTTACAAGCTTCCAAAAGCATGGTAAAATTTACTCACGTACATATTATTTCATTCTGCATTTCTGGGTTATAATGAGTGTGAAATGGGTAAGTCTTAACAGAAAGTGGCAATGTTCTTGTGCCTTCTTGGCTCACATACACCACTTCAGCATCCACACCACCCACAGCAGCAACAGTGTCTTTAACTTTTTAATGTTGTTTTTTTAGCCCCTTGCAGGTTCATTTCTACATGTAAATGACAGATTCTCTCCCTGGTCCTCTTCTCCAGAAAACAGAAGGGGAATTGCCCCACACAATCTCCAATCAATCCCACAGGGAATTCTCACAGCAGTCCTAGCACATCACAGCTCCCAGCAAGGAATGTCCCCACTTCCCCAACGCATCTTCTGCCCATTGGACCCATCACCCTGCCCAGCCTGCCAGAGATTGCTCATTTTGGAGATTTTTAGCCCCAGCAGAGTGGCAGAGCAGCCATTCTGTGTCCTCAGTGCCTCCCCTAGCCGTGCTGGTCAGCACAGGAGCAGCTCCCTCAGCTGAGGGGTGCCAGCCTGCCCAGCCCCACACCCCAACCCCGGCGATGGCCCCGGCAGCCTGGGCTGCACCCCGTCCTTCAGAACCTCTGAACAATTTATTCTCACAGGAATCAACTCTTGGGTGTTGACACTGGCCCCGTGCCAGGCAATGGATGATGCTCAGCACAGGATTTGTGGCCAGTCCCTCCCACACTGAACTTCGCAGTTTCCCAGGATCAGCGTGTGGAAGAACCTGATTACCACAACCCACAACACCTCTGAGATACCTGGGGGGTTTTTACTGAAGTGTCTTCAGCACTCAGGGGAAAAAAATGGTGTAAACAGGAACTCCTGGCACCTGTCTCCTTCCTCCACCCCATTGCCTCTGCTTCCCAACCACTTTCGAGCCTGCCTGCTTCCCTCATTTTCTTTTCTACCATGTGAAATACTAATTACCACAGCCTGTGTAGCCTTAGACACGGGTCCTCAAGGCCTGCATGAGTGCTTCATCAGCCCTTTTGGTGATCCCTAGGTTATGAGCATCGTGTGGTTCCACCCTCTCTGGACAGCCCTGGCCACGCTGACCTTGCAGGGATACACAGCTTTTCCACAAAAATACAGAATTTCTGCATCCTGCAGGTGATCTCAGATCCAAGCTATTGTTTTCCCTTAAGAATTATCTTAAAGTGTTAATAGCACAGCCTAGGAAACACAAATTCTAAACATCTATTATTCTAAACATCACAGTATTAGCCTTATTTAAATGACACCTGGCAGATCCAGTTTAAGAACTAGAAGCTCACAGAACCAAGTGGTGATGAGAGAACTGTAGTTCCCCTCAGAGCATTTTGAAACCCTATTCCAAAGAACTGACTTAAAATGATAGAAGCTGAACAACTCGATGAATGTACCAAAGCCTCTAAAAAATGTCCCAAGTCCTCATTATTCACAAGGTTCTTCTCTGCAGACATGAATATTGTTCAGTTTCTAAAAATAAAGCTTCATTTTAAATACTTCTGCAAATTGTGCAGGGAGTGTATCAAAGAAATGAATCAAGTACTGAGCATACAAAGCTTATTGGTACCCACAGTGAGAAAGAAGAGAGTTTCCAGCTAGCTGAAAACTTGGAGACTGGCATAAAAAGAAGGATTTGTCTCAAATTAAGATATTTGGTTTTAATATTTGGATAAAAATTACAAGTTATATCAAATTATTATATTAGAAATTATTAAAGGTCATGATGTTTTGACATTGAGTGATAACATTCTCGTAAGACATTTATGAAGTTACTGTACACAAGCAATATTTGATGAAAGATTAGAAAAGTTACTACAATGAAGTGAATTCATAGCACAATCACTATTGAGGGCATCTCCAATTAACTTTTTTGATGCTAAGCAATGCAACTCTTGGACTATAACCTACAAAGTTTTAAAACAGTGTAAGCTGCAGCTCTTCAACAATAAAATATTTTTAGCCTTGCGCTGCTTTTCAAAATGGCCATAGGCAAAAGGCAGTTAAATAGATCTTTGGACAGTGTATCACTGGCAAGGCAGAAGCTGTGAGTTCTGAGTGTGACACGAAGATAAAGGCATTCAAGAGAAAACATCACAGAGAGCCATAGAATGAGAAGCATTTGACACCATGTAGTTTCCCCATAACTATCTGCTAACTGGCACATAACAACAATGCAGACACAGATGGAGATTTAAGGATTTAATCTTCTAAATACACTCTTTTATTATTGTGGTTTGAAAAATTACCAACTCTTGAATATGGTGGTTTATATATAACACTACCTATAATGTGATTATAGATTTTACAGTCTAACTCTAATGAATCAGAAAATGGCTGCGCAAAGAATAATACAATTGCAAGTTTTCTCATTATTTATAGTAGCTTTTTCACAAACCATTTAATTGTGTTATTGCCAAAAACAATCCTCAAGTAATACATATTTCTGAACGTAATTTTTGATTGAGTTACTTTACTAAAACATACTTTGAGTTACCTGACTAAACCATAGCTACGAAGAGAAAAATGAAACACTGCGTGAACAACACAGAGTAGACCAATGTTAGTGATCCCAATGGCTACTGCTGCCAAATGCTAAAGACCACATTTACCAAGGGCTCACAAGCACTCACCATCAGGGACCTCAATGCAACCAAAGGACAAAGCCTAAAGTTTCTGCTCTGTGGTTGTCTCCATTCAACCTCTGTTGAAAAGACCCCCAAAAGACTGTTCTTGCAATGTACTAGATGTGTGAAACAGCATTACAGAGGCTGCAAATCCTGCAGCAGTAACCGAAAGAAAGGCTCAACCAAAAACCTGCAGAGACTGGGTGTGGGGGGGAGGGCAGGTTGAGGAAAACATGAGTTATTCCCACCCTTCTGCATCCTGCTAAATCCCACTCTCCACTGCAAAACAAGCTATTTCAGAGGGAAATGCTGAAAAAAAACATATCCATCAAATATGCAAAGCAAATATAACTCAAATAGGCTGAAGCATCTTTCTCTCTCCTTTTCTAGGCCGTTTTCTAAATATATAGTCCATCTCCAGACACAGCTTACAGGCTGATGATGAACTGATACACTATAGGCATGAAAATCCTCTAAGCAGCAGCAAGATATGGCTTTGAATATCGCAATCTGTGACAGAGAATCATAAATGGTTTAGGTTGGAAGAGATCTTAAAGATCAGCTCAGTCCAACCCCCCTGTCTCCTTCCACCCAGACTGGCCTTGAACACTGCCAGGAAAGCCACAGTTTCTCCCAGGAACCTATTCCAGTTCCACACCCTCACAGTGAAGAATTTCTTTCGTATGTCTAATGTAAGCCTGTCCCCTTTTGGTTTAAAGCCACTCTCCCTTGTTCTGTCACTACAAGCCCTTGTAAAAAGACCCTCTCCAGCTCTCTTGAAATCCCTTTAGAAGATTTAGGGAATGTCCTTCTAAAGTTTTCACAGAGTTTTCACTAATCCTGGCTGAACAGCCCCAGCTCTCTCAGCCTGTCTCTGCTGGAGAGGTGTTCCAGCCCTCTGAGCATCTTTGTGAAGTCCTCTGGACTCCTCCGACAGGGTCCACACCCTCCTTACCCTGGAGGCCCTGGAGTTGGATGCAGCTCTGCAGGTGGGGTCTCGGCAGAGCAGGGTAGAGGCAGAATCCCCTCCCTCCCCTGCTGCCCCCAGAGCTTTGGATTCAGCCCAGGATGCAGCTGGATTTCTGGGCTGCAAGTGCACATTGCTGGGTTGTGTTGAGCTTTTCATTCACCAGCATCCCTATATCCTTCTCCTTGGGGCTGCTCTCAATCCAGTCCCTGCCCAGCCTTTATTTGTGCTTGGAATTGCCACAACCCATATAGGGGACTTTGCACTTGGCCTTGTTGAACTCAAACACAGACCCTGGCAGGCTGGAGGGTCCCAAGGATGTGATGTGGGACAGTGCCAAAAGCCTGGCACAAGCCCATGGCAGGTGCTTTTCCCTTCCTAGAAGGCTGCAGCCGCATTCAGGTGTTCTGAGATTTTGTTCTCTCTTTCGGA